CTCAGCAGTTGGTAATCCCATCCAGAAGATGGAGCTGCGTTCGTACCTGTGGGACAATGTGGGGCAGTGTCCTTTGTCTCACTAGTCTTTCTGTTCTCTCTTCTGTTATGTCTCGTATTTCGTATGTTCTCGTAATGCCTGTTGACCTCTCGCTTCCGTTATTTGCTCAAAATTAATGACTGAAGAGAGGCTTGTTCCAGAGCGTTTTAGGCGGTTCCATTTGTTTTTCGTGACTGATAGGACAACTGGAGCCCAAAAATACCTTATCGGCCTCCCATAAGCACGACTCGCAATCGGGAAATGTCAGATTATCAAGTCAAACGAGAGGAAAAATGCCCCGCATAGGTATGAATGGTCTAGCCAGGGAAGTCCGCCAACTTACCATGGAACTTTGAATGGAGACCTGGGTAGATCGATAGTCTATAAGGTTATTTACAAATATAGATAGCAAAACTGCAACCTGCATTTCACAAGCAACTTATGAGCAGGTAAAGTTTGTAATGGTGCAGTAGGGTGGAGGCTTGGTGGTGAGCTGTGAAGCATAAGCGAGGAATCGCATACGTCGAATCGAGTCGTCGAACGTCGAACCTTACCACTGAACCACCACGACTCGATTCGACGTATGCGATTCCTCGCTTATGCTTCACAGCTCACCACCAAGCCTCCACCCTACTGCACCATTACAAACTTTACCTGCTCATAAGTTGCTTGTGAAATGCAGGTTGCAGTTTTGCTATCTATATTTGTAAATAGATCTACCAAGGTCTCCATTCGAAGTTCCTTGGTAAGTTGGCGGACTTCCCTGGTAAGTGCTAGGACGATCCAGAGCTATTTAGTAAATGAGTGTGGTCCTGTGAGTTGGTACCGATGCACGGTAATTTCAGAATTCGTGTGGTGTCTCATCAAGATCGAATGATTTATTCTGAATATGTTTGTTGAGGATTTGAGAAAAAGAGAATTGTGGCAGTTATGAGAGAACTGGCAGTCGTTTAGAATATGGACAAACAGAAAACAATTACAAGTGGCTATAAGCGAAACCCGTCGCAGTCGTGCTACCTAGTAAAAGTGATGAGCTAGAGAGTGGTGAAGGAGAACACATAAATAATCAGATTTGTCGATTACTCCGCAGTAAAAGATTCTTCAGGCACAACTATACAGGAACAGCTATACTTGTACTACACAAAGACACTTATAGCAGATATGCGTACTTCCCGCATTATTCGCTGATTATCGCCCGCCTTCGCTGTCGATTCTGGGGGAAATCGCTTCGGAGTATACGTAGCCGACGTGCTACCTTAGAATGAAGGCTCTTTCGCTTTTTTCTGACAAGTGATTAAGAAGTTGCTTAAAGACAGTGGGTACGACTGCTAAGGGCGGGCATTTGTTGCCAGCGTCATTGGTGGGAGAGCTGTGAGAGGACGTTTGGCCACACTCCATTGAGCCTTTCCGCAAATAACGTTGGCGACAGCCGTCATCGTCCAGCAGGCGTGCTTACTGTCTAAGTTTATTTTTGACGGCAGTAAGAATTGCTGAAGCTGTCTGAAGTACCACAGTCCACTGAACCACACTTTCGCGCGATCTAAGCGGGCATAAAACCAACCCCAAGAGAAGTTAATGAAAGAAATCCTGTGGTTTCTTGGAAGTAAGAATCTGAATCTGAATTGCTTGGATGTCCCTGAAGCTCCCCGTTTTGATCACTAGCTAACCTAGAGCACTGTGTTCGTCGTGCAGTGCCGTTATACATCACTTCTTTAATTGAGATTCACGAGATGGTTCCAGTTCAAAGATGGTAAGGTGGGAATGAGCAGATTAGTTCGTGGTAAGATACTGTTATCTCTGAGCTTCATCCAGTGTAATGTTGCGTGGTGTATTTGAAGCTTTTCACTTGGTTAAGCACTTTTATTGGCGAGCTTTCGGCATGTAATGCCTTCACCAGAATAGTTCTGCAAAAGAAACTTCTGTAAGCAAAAAGAACGTTGAGGTGCACGGTCCAAGATAAATGTGGTTCTTTCGTAGTGATGCCTCGAATGATGGATAAGGCTCTTACCACCGAGGTGCTCTCTGATACCACTATATAGGAGTGCACCTTGTCGGCGTTGCAAAAGAGTGAAGAATGTTATCAACAGTGCCAACAGTGAACAGACGTATGAGTTCGGAAATGGCAAAACAGTTGCATGGTTCGGTTCCAGCTGTGCCAACTCTATAATCGGTGAACACACATAATTTTCCAGCAACGGAAAGCACAATGCCGCTGCCACTGAGCGAAATCAAGACGAGACCAATCATCGCATCATGTGGTGGTCCAGCGGACAGGCTGAGCTGGCTTCCGGTGAATTCCACCACTGTTGCAGCATGTGGGAGAGCACATGTCAACGTTGATAAATTTATCTCGTTCATTCACCAGTGCCCAGTCCGGACACCAGCCTTACGCTAGACGTGGTTCGCTTCTCAAGACGAAACTTAGGATATGTGAAGGTGGCAAGGAACACCTGTGTGTGAAAAATGCTATACTATACTGTATACGAATGTAAATAATGCAGACGCAGTGCAACGCTGTCTTAACCCTTCTTGAGGAACATCAAAATCACATCTACATTCTGGGATTTTCCGCATACGAATAGGGGACTCATTGAAGCGGCACTGGAATTTTCTGCTTCAAGAGCAAGGTCTACAAGCAGAAACGAGGCTCAGCCATGGGCTATCGGATAACAATGGTGTTAGCAGCCATGTTCTTGGGCCACATGGAGAGGTCATCACTAGCAAGTGGAGTAGTGTTCTACAACCGCTATGTTGATGACGTGTTTGTTATTGGGTGGACAGAAGGAGATCTAGTGGAAACTGTGGAGGGACCGAACTGGCATGATAAACATAACCTTCACTAGAGAAGATCCGGGGGTGATGGCTTCTTGCCGCTTCTCAAGACGAAACTTAGGATATGTGAAGGTGGCAAGGAACACCTGTGGTATAAGAAAAATGCCTCGTCAAATATACTGTCGCATCCAGAAGTGCTGCCCACCCGGTTTGAGATGAAGGCGAACGACGTGCAAAACCTTGTTAGAACGAAGGAGAAGCTCGGGACGAGGAGTCAGATATGGATGCTGAGGTCAAAACATACTTGAAAGCAACGGATATCTCAAAATACCTTTCAGGACCTGGCTTCCACATAGATCAGCAGGTGGAATAACCTCATGATGACTTTTGTTAAGGACTAACGGCGTGAGGTGTGAGGTGTGAAGAACTCCCAAGTTCCCATTCGTTTAGTTTTACGTCTTCCCTACGCTCAGAGCCCTCCTGTCTTCAAGAATCTAGGAAAGCCGGTACCACGAACTATCTTGCCGAAATTGCACGTCTGAAAGTCCAGGGCACCGTTGTGGAGTCCAAGGCACCGTTTACCTGACTCAGTGCAGAGGATGTGGAGAGAAATACGTTGTGGAAACCTCACGAATTCGAAGAATCGTCTAGACGAGCACAGAAGAGCACTAATCAACCCTGCTGCTTACCCGCAAAGCAGTGTCCCACGGCACTGTACACTTAGACACGCGAATGGTAATGCTCCGTGCTTCGACGTGAATGCACTGCATAGATACTTGGTACACCCGCTGGAAAGAAAATAATGAAAGTGCGGGAGATACATGGTATAGGACCAGAAACTAATGCAGAACTAATGCAAAAAAGAGCTACGTGACCTCCTGAGGCTCATCGCCTAATCATTGAAACCCACCCATGTGCCTCAATGTTACGTCAGTGCGGGTCATTTTCCTATCGCTGTGTTAGCTAGGTCCGTTCATTCGTGGTATATTTTCTATTGCTTCTCGTAGCTGTTATATGTTCAAGCATAACTTAAGGTCTGACGAAGGCATTACGTAAAAGTGTTAACCAAGTGAAGAGCTTCAAACACACCACACAAGATTAGTTTGTGTTGTTTTCTATGCGGCCTCAAAAAGCAGCTATCGGTAAACTAGTATTTATCCCGCCCTTTGATGTTTTGCTTTGTCATAATATCCTCATGCCGAAGATCGTGTTACTCATGTCCAGTACTATACAGTTTATATCACCGCAACCAGTCGGGTCGCAATCGGTCGATATACGTGCGGCGGCCTTCCCACCATTGGTTTATTCCCTTCCTAAATTCGAACTACTCGATCACCATTGGTAAAGCAAGGTAGCCGCAGGCAAAGTGCCCTATCGCGTTGCATGTGTTACTGCATCCAGTCGTTGTGATCGCTGATCGGGACGACGCTGCAAGGGCTGGTGATACCCACGGTGTTCCTATACAAAAAGGAGCAAGCCCTCACGAAATGCTTGCGCCCAAATGGGAATGTGCTCAAGAAGGCTAACATTTTTTGCGGCAGCCTAAGCGAGCGTCCTATCCTCCAGCCCCGCCTCGTTTCCGAAAGGGCGGCTTATATACAAGAGCGGCCTACAACGCAGAAAACAGTGTGTCCCACTATATATAATCCGTTAAGTGTGTTCGCTGGTATGATGTCTGTGTCTTCAACACCCACTTCTCCCCAGGCTTCGCTGAATCGCATAGGAGTTGAGACAAGGACACTGGCCGCAGTAGGCAGGATAAGGGCTGATAACAAGCACTGAATGCTGCATATCCACCCCTTTCGTCATGGTGCTACAGATTTTACTCTGGGCAAGGATAATAAGATACGAGTACTGATAGTGAGTGGTTGGTATAGGTATCGAGCAATGGGAACTAATACGGGCTGGAAATAAAACAATAACGCCTTCCACTCTTTCTGCGACCACGTATCGAATACAGTGCTTCGGGTGTAAGCTATACTCATGATCCCTGCAAAGGATAGAGCGTATGATGGAGCGCGATTGGAGCGCACCAGACAGCCTTTCTCACCAGTTGTTGCGAACTGAGGGCGCCATCATTGGTGGGAAAAGGCTCATGAAGGCATCAGCTATGCAGTACAATTTTAGAAGCAACACAAAAAAGAAGGGGATATCGGCAAGCTGTGGAACCTGAGGGGTTGTAAGGACGCTTATTTCAAGGGGAACCATTGTCTTATGCACGCAGTACCTAACGCCAAAAGAACAGGTTCTAGTAAGCAGCTCTGAACTGCTGACATTACCTCCATGAAGTTCTCGGCACGATTCAGTTCCTCCACCACAGAATCATTCGGTGGTGCAGCTCCAGGCGCGCCAGCTTCCTGCGGCGGTATCGCTGGCATTCCTGGTGGTGACCCTGGTGGCGGTACCAAAGTCGATGTCGGGTTTCCTAAATTCAAATATTTCGAGCAAGTACTAACCACCAAAATATAGCTTTGGTCTACCTTGGATGAGATTTTGGTTTAGTTCTTCTTTTAGACCACCATTGCCAAGTGAAATGTCCTGAAGCGATGTTAAGGGAAATGGCGTTGAGCGAGTAGTTGTCTTCAAGTTACAAAAGTTCAGTTTTGGTTACAAAGCTTAGGCGAGAACTACATCTACAATTCCAAATGTGAAAGTAAAGAATGGGCTTGTCACCTGTCTTGTCGTGGTGATCACTGTCGAGCTCTCAATCCCAGCCAGTGTGGGTGTGTGAAATGCCAAGGGAGTGGTAGTTGGAGTTGGAGAGGTAGTAGTTGGAGAAGAAGTCGCAGAAACCGTTGCTAACTCTTCTTCTGCAATGTCTGCTGAACCTTCCACTACTTCACTTAGTGGAAGATTTCTAAGAGGTGCAACGATTGCCGTCTTTCTATTGAGAACCGCAGGTTCAACGTCAAATGAGTCTTCGTTTGAAGTTGAATGATCCACCAGATTTCTGTGGACTGCCGTTTCCGACATGACTTCCGTTGGTTTTCGTAACTCTGATTCTAAAGATCCTGTGGCAATAGGTGGTGCTTCGGCAGAATTGTTAATTCTCAAAGAAGGAACCGAAGGGCGGGATCGATTCACGGTGGGCGGCGCTCCTGTTATTGGAAGTGGCTGCGGTGGAGGTCTTCTTGGTGAGGTAAGAGTTACATCGGCATTTTTCCCTTGAGCGATGGTGCTCAGACCATTCGTCGAAGGTGGTACGGCAGTAATTGTGGGTTGAGTAGAAGTGACTGAAGTAGGTGGCGCTGAGGCAGAGGTGAATGAATGGTGTGACTGGGTGGTGCTGCTCTGTCGATGAAGGCCACGACTTATATTGCGGTCTTGCTGACCTTGCGCACGATTGGTAAGACTTGTAACTCGTCGTCGAGATGTGGTGAAGAGCAACAACGGTGAGCCAGGTGTAGACTGGGCAGCTTGTGGTGCAATTAGAGATGGTGCAGATGGACTAGCGACTGCCGCTGGCCCAGGGTTAACATTAATGGTAGCATTGCTTGTGAATTTTGTAATGTCTATAACTGGTGGCAGTTCTGGCGCTTTAGTTGTAGACGTTATGCGTCGACTTGTGTTTCGAGCTGTAGGTGCTATTGGTGAAGGTGACACTTCTTCCTTCCTCGGGGATGGCCGCTTTCTATTCTCGCTAGCAGTATCACTGCTATGGGGGAACGTTCGTAGATGTGGTCGACGAATTCGACCATTTCTTCTCGACGATGTTGTTGATGATTCTGAAATATGATGCAGACATGAGGTATGGTTTGTCAGTGACCTAGAAGCTCACCTATAATCGCCTTTAACACCGCCCTTTCGACATCGCTATCCGAGACTACATCTGCGGACGCTGCTAAATTGACCCATATTTAAACCTTGACTTTGATTTTCTGATCAGTTGAATCGCATTGAATCAATAAAAGCTGCTTAAAAGCTTTGAGTGGAATGTAGAGACGGGACGTTGAAGGGGAATTACATCCTGAAGCCGTTAGTGGAATGTAAGGATACAATACGAATGAGAAGAAGCTAAGAACGTTTCGGGCGAAAAGTGAGAAGAGCGCTAAGGGTACATTCTATCTAATCATATATGCACTCCGTGGCGATAAACGACGGGAGCGTTAACGAACTTGGTTCTCCCAGCCAGAGTCAACTAGTTCCAGAGGAGATTACCACACACCACTATCATAATTTTGCCAAGTTGCTGCTCAAAATGAGTGAGGAATTCATGAAGGACCTATCAGCTCATTTGTTATGTGTCATCGGGAAGGTTTTCCGTAACCCTCTGGCATCAGAGGCCCAGCATTTTTGAGCTATTTAGGAATTTTTTGATCATTTTGAAAATAGTGAACTTTCAAGAAAATTCTATGCATCCCAAAACAATCTGTTGAAATGGAGTGGGCTCGGAAACAGTTGATCTGAACAATACTAAATTAGAAGGATAAGTGAAGTCGATAACTTCACAGGGTCCATGGTGTAGATGACAAGGGCGCTGCGACGACGACGATGATGAAGTCTCAGTACGGGTCCGCAATGTGTCACCCAGGTTTCCGTTGGTCTATGTCTGCTTGTTGCGAAAATTCATAACTTTCTTTGATTTAGCTTTAGAGAGTTCAAATCAGTAAGTGAATAGGAGTTAGGATGGGAACAATATTGGTGGGTGCAGAGGAAGTTATTACAACTAACAAGAGCCGATAAGGGGAGCTAGAAGAGCGGTGTCACTAAACTCACAAAGAGCCCCACAGCATCCAGCGATTACTGTAGAAGGTGCAACGGGAACGCTATTGGTGGGTGATAGGAAGTGACAAGGTAAGATAAGATAAGAGCTCTCCTAATCCCTGAGACGGAGTAGGCGTGTCTTTGAGCACGGCATAGAACGGGTTACTCATGGAATATTTCAATTTCAAACAACTGCCACTTTGCTGAGAGCTAAATTTAGACATGACTGTTCCAAAATGAAGGTACCTCACGAAAACCTGGGCCGCCGGCACTTCAAAATTGAGTGTGCAGCCCCGCCTACCCGATCTCAGGGATTTCGAGTATAATTACAAGGACACAAGTGGGGGCACAAGAAGCTTAGCGTTGAACTGACGACGCGCAGCAACAGTGGAAACGTGGTTGATAATGAGCCTTTTTGGGATTATGTACATATAATTACAATTATTACATATTAATTATGTACATTATGTACGGTACACCTACGGTAAAAGTTGGTGGAATGACTACTCGAGAGCAACCTTAATTCCACTTTAACGCAGAACAGCTTTCAAATGGGATCCTGCTTTCCAAAAAAGATCTGAGGAGGTGTCTGTCTTCGGATTAAGATTACAGTATCCGCTGCTCTAGTGGTACCCACACCAGGGCAAGCAACACATTGAGGAAAATTATTTCGTCGGTTTAACCCGCAAAAAGTGAGCGTCAAACTACCCCATCTACTAACTGTGATGACTGCTTCCCTGTTCAAAAGCCGTAGTCATGAAAATGTTACAAGGTCTAAACACGGGGGTCATTTTTCAAGCTCACGTAGCATTATGAAGTTAAAGCTTGGAAAAAACAGCAACAAAAAGCGCAAAAGGACCCGAATGGAATGAAAAAGCGATGGAATGACAGTTCAAGCTTCAATAAAACATGGTGTAGATTTATTTCAGATGCTTCGCATGTCGGCATTGAGTCGCTATTACTTTGGAGCTTTTCGAAACGTTGTAGTTTCCTCTGGAGACAAGATTTTGCTATGCTATGGGCGCGATTCGTGCTCCATGGGAAGCGTCTACACCTCTGATACTAGAATAGACGAGAGAAAGGTGTCGGAATTCCGCATCAAAAGAGGAAATCTCTCTAACGCGAGTTTTCAAGCTTTGAGGGAGCTACGACTAACTACAATTGGTAATACAAGATACAAGACAAAACAAAAGTCGATGTTGAGGCCAAGAATGGTCCCCCTTTCTAGCCACCGCGAAGACTTACACAAAATCCACGTTGTTATAGATTTGTGGAATACCGACTTTTTGAATCCAGACTTTGTTTTCAGAAAGCCGGTTACTACCATCCCACGAGGACTCCTCAACGGATGCTTGACCCTGATTCACACTTCTGGCCGAGTGCGGACTTCTGCAAGTGTCAGAAACAGGGAAATTCGTAGGGTCACATGGAATATAAAGATACCCAAATTCTTCTATTAGAGCACTGACTAGAATTCAAAGCCGGCGACTCTATAGAGCACAATGGGACTGCAGAAGGCGTTTGAAAATCAAGTTGGAAAAGGCTTCAGAGAAACAAGTATCATTATTGCGGGTAGTATACGAAAAATCAGTATAGAAGCAAGGAATTAGACGCTACATTCAGTCATGGAGCCAGCAGGAAAGCTGAAGTATGGTGAGCTCGGAATACAAAAAAAGACATAGCGTTCAGCTCGCACAAGAGGATGACAAAGCTCCTTACTCGAAAAATGGTGAGTATGTCGGAAAACCATTTTTTTGCCCACATTTAAAGATCATGACAAAGTTTCAGACATTAGAAGCTTTTGAAGCGGACTGCACGTAACGAAGCATTTGCTTCCATAAATCAGCGTTCAGACTTCGCGACGGCAGCGCTTCGGTCGCGCGTTGAACGCGATCGATGCAGTCGAAAGCATGCGCATCGATCGCGTCGAACGCGCGACCGAGGCGCTGCCGTCGCGAAGTCTGAACGCTGCCTAACACGATTCAACCAGATGAAGCTTTTGGAGCTAACTAGCTCTCAAGGCTCAAATACGAAGGCCGTAACCCCAATCGTTCTCCTACCCATATTTTGTCGAACAAGAAAGTATGGATGAGCCCACTGCGAGTTTGTTGTTGAACGTTTAGATAACTATGGGTTTTGATGTTTTGATACAGCTCAAGATGCAAATCGTTCCTCGTTCACATTGCTTCAATTGCGTTTTATCCATTGAAATGACCTACCTGTTTCTCCTTTCACCACTCCATCACTCATCGATGACGTCCGAGGAAGAGTTCTGAACAACTTATGGTTATATGAAAGTCTTGAAACTGTTTTGTTACTTATTAGCTTGTGATTTTGTAAGTTTCAGTTTGAAAGTTATAGTTGAAATGTTAGAATCGAGTAAAGAAGGCAGTACTTCCGAAGAAAAACGTGAGGAAGCGAAATGGCCGCTTATGTCTGAAGATAAGCTTCCAAAAGCATAGAGAATTTCATTCAGCTGAGCTTTCAAAGAATAAATTAATGGAAAATGTGAGCTCGAGAGTTCCAAAATAGTCAGGTAATTTCTTAGTAGTGCGGCCTTCGAGGAGTTAACGTTAAAATGCATATTTTAAAAATGTAAAGTGTTAGTAACCTGAGATCGGTTAATTGCTTATTAGTAGGTCGTTGCAGTCGAACACGAAGTCGATGCCTAGTGAACTGCCGCGGTGGTTCTACTGGTGGCAGCGGCACAGTGCGTGGTCGTGATGGTCTCTCCAGAATGTCCTTGTGAGAAGTTGGTCTGCTTAGATTACCGACGAACAGTAGAGTTGGCTTGCGAATGTGAGTCGCCTGTGAGAGCGGTACACGTCGGATTTGGGCACGTCGGATTGCGAGTGAAGTAACAGGTCGCTGACGACGTCGAAAATCGTCGAATTCTGGCTGGACACCTTGAAAACGCGGAGGTGTGCGAGGTGGCGCGAGTTGGCGGCGTACAGCAAGTGGATGGCGAACAAGCAAAGTGGTAGGTGCTTGGCCAACAGGAACTGCAGCAGACCTTTGCACGGTGGTTTGCAGTCTATGGCTGATCTGCTTCGGTACGCGACGATGAGTCCTCGAATCAACTCGGCTACTGCTGCCACTGACGACACCATCTCTGCAAATGCACATCAAACGCAATCTCTTACTATTCTTTTATGAGTTTGTTAATGGGTCAGCTCATTCCCAGTTGGAATCAACGGACTGGATTGGATAATCACAAATAAACAGACTGTTTCGGATCGTGTTAGAGGGTATGTCTGGGTGAGTAAATCCACCACCGTGGCAAGGGAACTACTATTAGATAGTCCATAATTTCCAGAGCACTATTGCAGAAAATGTGAACGAACAAAATGTATGTTTTCTACTACTTACCCGGCAAGGTACGCGGGCTGTTCAAAGTATTCTCGGTATCGGGGTAATTTATCAGTGCCGAAAGAATTCAAATCATTTCAAAGGCAATGACACTCCTTGATGGTATAAATGTACCATAGTTCGCTGCCGACGGTTGGGCGTGCCAGGCAGTATGATTGTGTCACGCGGTCAAACTCCTGTGCCTTCTTGTTGAAGCGCGCATGCGACAAAAAGTGGTAGAAAACGAGTAATAGGAACGATACAGTCATATCACTCGCTTTAACAACTGGTGGAGAACGGGTTTGGCACCGTGCCAAACTCCTGACACGCCCAACCGTCCGCAGCGAACTACACTATATATGTTCGAAAATAAATTTTGTTCAGAATTTTCTGCTTTTTCCTTCACACCTATACCGGGAATACATTGAACAGCCTCGTGTATACTGCAGATACCTGTAACATTTCCACGAAGAAGAGTAAGCAGTTTCTTTTCCCTCTTGTAAAATCCGAGGCCGTCAGTAACTATGCTGAGCAGCCAATCGAAGATAGGGCATGGGAAGTGAACAAGGCAGCAGTCGGAGCTGGTCACTAGTGCGGCATCGAAGGCGCTCTACCGAAATGGGGCTATTGAGGTGGGAATCTGTTTGAAAATTTGATGTAGGGAGCTATAGCAAAAAATAGTTTGTGAGCAGATTTTGAAATGCTCCATATTGGTCGAATATTATCTCACCCCAGGGATGGATAATCTTTGCGGCAGCTATGCGTTCAAGTCACCCTGCCAGGGTACATGAAAAAGAAGGTTCTCGAAGAGGGTTTCAAAAATTGCAGTAGCAGCCAAGAGAAACGAAGGGATGAGGAAGGGAAGGGAAACGAGTTGGATAATTGCTCGAGATCGCAGAATCCGACGATTCGATACGGGGCATGCTCCGCAGATTCGCTTTCTTTGAAAGTTCTCTCCTAAATGTGCAGTGTTTTGGAAATTATGGACTAAACTAATTTTCCCGTGCCATGCACTCCAATCAGCTTCACTGGATATGGATATATACGAGACTGTGAAGACCAGGGAGCGCAGGTACATAAATCCTCCAGAATGAATGAAATCACTGAAAGTGAAGAGTTCTTCTTCAAATTACTACCTGGCCTTCACGCATGCTCATATATATGTTAGGTCTTATTAAAGGTCACCGTTAACAACATTCGCATGCTTTTCACAAAAGTCACGTCTGTTATCGTTAGCCAGAATGGGTTAAACCTCATTCCCATGTACGTAGAGAAAATTCCCACAAAATTGTGTGAGGATCAACTTCTTCACAGTAAAGGACAACCTAATGAATGAACGGAAATCTTTTTCAACTTCAAAGAAACACACCTTATATCAGCCATCAGGGATCCGTCCTCCTCAGTCGTTACAAAACGACGTTCCACAGTTCGTTCAATGGGGTCATGAAAATATTACTATAAAAGCCTGTAGGAAACTAATCAGACTATCAGTTCGAAAAATAAAGTGACATTTGTATGGTCTATTCAGAATGTATGTGGCTGATGTCTCCGCAACATGGAGCAATCTATGTGATGTTCCACCAGTATGCCAAGTATTAGGGTGTCCGGAAAAATTTGAGAAATTTCAACCGGCTAATTTAATATTTATCAACAGCGATAAGAGGTAGGAGTTCATATTTATAATAACATTATCCATCCCAGTCCCTCAACTTTTAGGCGGGATTAAATTACGTGGAGCTGGAATGAAGGGAGCACCGGGTATGCGGGGCGTACTAAACATAATAGCTAAACTTCCATGTGAAAGACCGACTGATCGTCGAGTACAGATGGATTTAAAGTATGTTTCTTCCGGAAACGGGTATATTACTTTGTGTTGGGGCATTCGCTTGCGACAACCAAATAGTCTACTTACTGTCAGTAATACCCTCTACACTGGTAGTGGGGCGGTGGTGCAGCAGGGACAGCTATTACGACGGGACCTCGGATCGGTTCCCTCTGTGGAAATGAGGCCTCCCACCTGTATACCTGATTGAATAACTGGTATCGCACTTGAATAAGAGGATAAAAACACTGGTTTGCACAATCATGAATAAAAAACTAGAATAGGCCAAGAATTGCACATATTCCCAGCTATATTGGATTTTCTCTAACTTGATCGATTTTTTTACAGAAGAAATAAGCCCAATAGACATGCAGACCATTAGTTCGTTCTTTGCCTTAGGGCAGAAAAATTACCTTGGATCTGGTAAGGGATTAGATCTTTGGCTTACTCCAAAAATTTTTTCAGTATTGTATGTAGCATAATCAGCCGGCCCCCTTAAGGCAGCGTTCAGACTTCGCGACGGAGCGCTTCGGTCGCGCGTTCGACGCGATCAATGCAGTCGACCGAAGCGCTGCCGTCGCGAAGTCTGAACACTGCCTAACTAGTTGAGCAGGCCAAGTCGCCTTCAAACGAATTACACTGAATGGAAAGATAAATCCGTGGTGCACCCCAAAAAGAGGGCCGAACAACGCCAGGAGTTTTCAAACTTTATGCTGCCACTGTGCTAACGGTAATAATGAGAGGTTCTAAAGGCTATGAGATCAGGAGGTCTCAAGCGGTCTCGCAACACCAATAAAATGCGAGAAAACAAGCACAGGTCGAGCATTAGGCCTGCATTTTATTTCAAAGGCAGGCTCACTCTAAAAATCTTCCCTAATTTTGTTAAGGGCTTCGCAGCGGGTATGGAAGACGAATTCGCAATCACCCTCTAGACACACCAGTCGGTGTACATCTCGGCGCTTTTCGGTTTGGAGGGAAGAGTCATTTTGCACTTTCGCTGGTTCCTGTCAAGCTGAACGACTCAGCTGGGTTAGACCTGTAGACTGTTGTCAAGTGTAAGCGAAGCTCATTCTTAGCTTTATAAGGTTCTACAGGTCTCTGCAGAAGTTATCGGCGGCGACTGGGAGGGATCGGCAAATTGCGCCTCCTCCACCAAGCCGAAGTGCTCCTACATATTTAAAAAAATATGTAGGAGTAGTTCGGCTTGGTGGGGGAGGCGCAATTTGCCGATAATTGATAATTTTCAAATAGCCCCTTTCGATCCGGTTTTTTCTCTCGTAGGGTGCATTAAACGGTGTCCATTTTATAAGAGAACAAGTTATTTGCTCATACAGGAGGCCTCAAAAGGCCTAAAGATGACATACATGGTGAGCTTACGAAAAGTTACAGGATATCTGAAAAAAGAACGTAGCGTTGACCTACCTGCAAGTCGAAAGTGGTTGCAGCGTCCCTCTGGCCTCGAGTGCTGTCAGTCCTCCTATCCTCATCGCTTTCCATCGCCATTGACTCGGAACCATGAAATCAAACTTGTTTACGATATTTCCAAATAGCTTTTCCACGTAGCGTCGGTAATTAAAGTGTCGACTTGGGCCTCTTTCATTGACACTCCTCCCACACGTCCGTCAAAGTTCCCACTGTTAGCCGGTTAGTGGTGAGTCTATACGGCACCACTCGAGGGAGAAAAAGAGGTGGAATTGTGGGCAGGGCACACCATGGGTTGAGATTTTGCTCGAGTCCGTCCCCCCCCCCCCTTCATCCCCTCCCTTCCCCAGCTCCACTGAAGGTGGCTTGTTGCGGCTCCCCTAGTGCCCTCTAATACGGGAGCTCTCGAACTGTCGTAAGGAGACTAGGGGGGGGGGTGTATAGCATATAGAACATGAGAAACGGGAAAAACCGCGGGAAGTCAATCTCAACGGCGCAAATTTTTTTCGAAAGCGAATACGATCCCGCTCCCCCCCTCCCTCTTGCGACAGTACGGCCCTTCCCCTGTTGGGGAATCCCCAAGAGCTTGATCCGGGTCAAAGACCATTACGGATTGGCGTTTTGAAGTACTCGTTGATTTTTACCTACCGCCTCTGCTCGGGGATTCGCGTACCTGAATGATTAGCAGCCTACATTATGACGCGGTGGCAAAGACAACAGTATTATGGCAAAGCCACACATTTAGGTGACTAGTTGTCTCGCTCAGACGTTCGAATGAAGAGAAGGCGGAGAAGGTATCGATCGACATGGGGCCTTATTTCCGCTTAAATCTACATGAATTTCGTTGTTCTAATCAGCAACTTGATGCACCTCGAGAATTTTCTGCGTACTGCTGCATGGTGCTTGACACGGCAAATTACGATTTTCTTGTCCGTCTCCCATATGACGCACCTCTAAAGGCTTCAACAGAGCAAACCAGAGGGAAATGAGATGCAATTTGGAGCTGCCCCGGAAAAGCACACAGCATAGCATAGCATACATAGCATATAGCACTCTTCCGCTATAGTTAGAACGGACAGCGATACAGCTACCGTCTTCGTGAGCCACTCTTTTACGTGACGTATCGTGAACCACCTAGCCCCGAGAGGATTGCCTCTAAACATACGAAAAGTCTTCCAAAAATTATTGCAGAACACTGATTCTACTCTTCACGCGCTATCTCTTGGGGTGCAAGGCGCTATCCTCCTCGTATCTCCTAGCTGACTACGGTCTATCGGCTCACACGAGTCATAGAGCGGCAAAACATCGAACGAAGGTACATAAACCATGCGAGCGAGAAGGTTTCGGAGAGCGCTCTGCTTGACTGATCATCCATACGGTCGGAGAGGCTCATTGTACCATCGGGAAAGTATATGAGGATGCTATGCTGCCCACTCGTCAAACTGAAGAAGGCTTTTGTCCCCGCAGTGACACAAGGGGTTTAGAAGTTCTGGGCAGTCATGGTGCCCCTACTCAATGCAAAAAGAACTTTTGT